ATTTTTGTAGTATTTCTTCACCGTACCCTTTTAGCTTCTAAAACTTTTTTGCTGTGAATATCCGTTTTAGTGCTTTGAAAAAAGGTAAATGACTTTTGCGACTTAGGTAATTTATTTTGAGTTTTGAGAATTGGCTTTTGTTATTGATTTTTAAATTTTGTTTCATTAGTTTTCACTTGTTACAAAAAATTAATGTTTTCTTAATTTATTTCGCAATAAATTTTTTTTATTTTTATCGCAAGTGGGAAAATTCAAAGCAGTTGTTGCTTTTTATTTCAGGAAAGAATTAAAATATATGGTTTGGTACATATTGCGATGTATATTTAGTGTCATATAGGATCCTGTCCGTAAGTCGGATGCTGTACAAATTCAAATTCACCCGGAGGACTTTGAATCAGCATGCAATCGTCGTGCAGTTTTAAGCAGACAGATATGAGGAACAAACTCTCGTCGTGACTGGAGGCTTTATATTCTGTGTGAGAGAGAAAGAACGAGGTCGTCGGCAATTAAACTTTGCACTTATTCGTCGTTCGGCGTGTATTATACAATATTACAAGTTGACCGCTGGCATGCAAAATTATTACTTCGCCACTAAAACCTCGTATTACGAGTTCACACCACACACTGCAATATAGTATTGAAAAAGCGGAAAAATTTTCTCTGTAAACTTTTCCATCACAGTTTTTCTAAGGATATCAAATTGAGACAAAAAAAAGTATCAATAGAATCCTGAGAAAAACAATGATTTCTGAATAATTTAGAGCGAATGGGTGAACAAAGTAGTTGGAGTTTATTTGATTCGAATGATAACAAGGTAAACGGGAATCGTGTGATTCGAAATGTGGTGACTTTGCGTGATTCTAAATGTGAAATCGTGTTAAATTTTCTATGTAGATAGGACGGTAGGGGTTTATTTCTGCATAGGGCAAGCTTAATTAACGCTAAAGAGGGGACGAAAGGATCGAGCCAGATGGGAGTTTATCTCAACGAAACTAAATTTCAACATTGCTTGTCGCACCCCTGGGAATTCTCAGAAATTCCTTCAACTATATAAGTGTTTAATTCCCAACGAAACTATAGCAGGAAAAAAATATTGCTCTGAATACTAAAAAGGGGAAAAAACTGTTCTTTTCCATTGGTAAAATTTATTCTTTTCATTTGGCAACAAATTGCGATTTTTATTCTTTTCATTCGATTGTTATGTTTTATTTGTTGTCTCAATTATTAGTGAAGTCCACACGTCAAATATTTTAATTTTTTTAATTTTCATATATTTTTTTATATTTTATATTTGTTTTATTTTTGTTTTAGTTTTATTACATTTTAAATATATATTTATGTAAATTACAATTTAAAACTATAGTTGATTCTTAAAATTTACATTGCAAATGCTTTTTAAAGCACTTGGAGAATTTCATTCGGTCAACAGACCAAAATGAAATTGTCTCCGCGCATTTAGGATTATTTAATTGGTGTTTTCAAGGCACAGTAGTTAACTTATTCAAATATTTGCAAACGAGAATTTCTTCTTCCTGTTTTTCGTATTTTTTTCTGATCTCTTCATCATCATGTATAAAATACTGAATTGCATTTTTTTTTTAAATCTATTTTATCTCAAAGATGACAATTAGAAAAAATAAAGTTCTTTCGCAAATCCACATTATACGATTCGGCTCTTTCCCTCGAAAACGAAGCAGACGGTTCAATGCAATGAATCTCTTTTTTTTACCCTCGAGCTTCTCGAACTCTCGGTTTAAAATCTTTTTTTAGTCTTTTTTCTCCTTCTGGAATGGAAAAAGGAAGGAACTTACAGTTCTAATTGTGATCGTATCTTCATTATGTATTCACGAGGGGAATGGTGGTTTTTTTAGTAGGATAGAAGAAAATGATTATATTCTTGAATTTAGAATATCGATTAAAGTAAAAACGTAGAAAAATATGATTCACTTATTATTTTGCCAACTGAGAAAGACGAATTAGTTAACGAATTTTTTTAATTGAGCGATATTGGTGAAAATTTTCTCGAGGGTAATATATTATTTTTTTTGAGCGATATAAAATATTGCACTCTCGAATCCCTTGACATTTTCCGTAAGTTTTTTAGGGAAAATTTCTCTGCGAAAAGACGTTACTTCACGTTAGTGGCAATCAACCAGTTGGTTGAGCAACGAGGTTAATAACCTCGTTGAGTTAACGGTCCAACCTAAACCATAATTTAATCTTTTCCACATCAAAGCTTTTGTACCATATATAGGTACTAATGTCAAAAATCAATCGTGTCGCTAATGCATAAAATGTAATTATAATTAATATCGTGGTACCTGTTGAAAGATTGATTGGATTAAATTAACAATTTATAGTAAAAAGTAATTTGCTGATTAATTTGTCAGAAGTCGATTGTGAAATTGTTTGTTGTTGATCTGCAACAACAGGAGTAATGGAAGATGGACTATGTCTTTGGTAAATAGAATTCACATTCAGACGGGAAACCCTATTTATCCATTAGGCAGAAACGTACTGTTGAGAACGTAGTTTCCGGTTTGCAGGAGATTCCGCTTAATTAATGCATTACGCGCGTCCTTTGGGATCAAGTCATAGATTGGGTTGAGAACTCGGCCGTTTCACGGAATTAATCAAGTGTACACGAACTGATTGAGAGATTCTGTGGATCCATCTTCATAAAGTCTGATTTATTTCTATATTAGTGGAATTGTTGGTGCTTTCTTCATGTTTTATTTATTAAATAATTTATTTTATTAAAGTTTTAGGTGAAAAATTATTAAAAATTACTAACAGTTCTTGTGGGTTTCACTATATTTCCTATTTAACGAGATAAGTAAAAATGTTTGAAAAAAACTAATAATAATAAAAGTAATGAATTAAATAATTTAATGTGTCATAAATTAATGAAATGTAGTTAAATATATTGTTAAGTAGAATGTAATTATATCGCGCACTAATTATGGAGCAATTAAGGCTTAATTATTAATTAAGGTACCTTTTTTCCCAAATTGGATTAATCAGAATATCATTGAGTTCATAAATTGGTACAATAAATCCTACTTAACAAAATGACGATAATTTATTATACTTTTGTCGACAGAACTTGTGATTGAAAGTTAGTTAAAATTTAACACTTTTGAATATTTGGGGAATCTTATTGGTGTAGATTAATACTCAATTAGAGCCAGAGAGTGTTTGAATGTTTATTTGCGTTGTACATGTAGAGAAAGAGCAGGGAACATATAAAGCAGAAATAACTTGATTGTGTTATACGATTCGGTGATTACACACGTTGTGTGACCCCTGCTTTGCAAACTCGTTTGTATTGTAGCAATCATTCAGCTGTATTTTGTAGACAATTGGCTACTTTATAATCTCTATTTTTCAAAAGAGAAAAAAGGAGATTTTATTTTTTAAAAAGATTTGTAGATTTTTTAATTAAAATCTGTTGTTGAGGATCAAATTTTTTGTTTGAGGATCAGCGTTTGTCAAGGTAACAGCTGATAGTTATCATTCGACACAATTTGGCACAATTTAATTCTTAATCAAACCTTATCAATTGTTAAGCAACCATTGCTGAGAGAACTGTTGACATCAGTTGCAAAGGTTATGTTGTTAAACAACAGTTTAACAAAGTTTGGTAACAAAGTGTCTTAACAATCGATGCTGGACAGCTATTAACAATAGTTGTTTAGGAAATATTGGTAATAAACAATTATTTAGTAATCGTTACTCGGTAACAGTTACCAACAGTTTAGCAAAACTTGTTAAAAAAAATTTAGCAACTAGTTGGGTAAGTAACTAATTGACAACAGTTGCTTGATAAATTTTACTAGCAGTAACAGTTTCTTGCTTTAAGTTAACATTACTTTCACTAAAGTTAAACTTTTAATAAAGATTGTTTATAAATTGTTCCCCAGTAATAACAATAATTCTAGAATTTACCAAAACTTTTTGTCATTCTCTAAGAGTGGAAATTTTAAACTTTCCCCTTAAATCGCCGGAAGGTGGAAAGTAATGGCGAACGAGCGAGATTCACGGATGTTGCGTGCATTTTAAGTATGTCTACTCTTTCTCGAATCTTTCGTCTCTGCATGGAGGGTTGATTCAGGTAGCAGGGGAAGAAAGTGTCACAATTATCGCCACGTCTGCGTCGAGACGGTTCTTGAAAACTAGATAAACGTGAAGTGAATTTGAAAGAACGTTTTCAAGGATTTGCATTTTCTGTAATTTCGTAAAGTGTGCAGGGAAAAATAGATAGAATAATAATAATAATGATGAAACTTGAGTGAAAAAAGGGAGAAGTTAATTAAATAATTTTGTTCTATAGTTGGTAATATATTCTAGCATTTTTTTTCTTTTTGCTTTTCACTCGCCAAGTGTTAAGTTGCAGATTATAATATTCAGGGTCACATATATTTGTGTTTGTGCATATATATATTTCGTGTGAGTTTTTTCAGCCGATCGATCAAACAAATATAGTCGGGTGCGCTTTAATGAAAATCAATTCAAGTGGCAAGGCTCAAGTTTTTGATCCAATCAAATCACAATTTTCGTTGACCAAGCGCATTCGATTAATTACTTCACATCAAAAGGGGAATGCGGTCAAACAAATCTGATCTTTTAAAAAACTTTATTATATATGATTTCAAGAGGGCTTGAAAAATATTTTCTCGTTCGAGAAATAACTTTGATGGTTCATAAAACTCTCTTTCTCTTTTTCTTTCTCTTCCTCATTCTTTTTCTCTTTTTTTCTTTTTCTTTCTCAGGTAATTTTTCCATGTACGACTAGATTTTTCACAATTGTTTGAAATTAATTTTTATTATATACTTTATTTAATTCTAAAAGATGGAAAAGGCTGACTAATATAAAACTATTCCCCTTGTGTAAAACAATTACGATTCGTCTGACCGAAACTTGACTGTTTCACTTAAGTGAAACAAATTCCACACTGTCAGCCGATAATTGAATTCAAAACTGTCTTTTTCTGTTTCAGGTGAGTGTTTTCGTAACAAATGGTTCTTGACACTTGAAACTTCAACAGATTTCCACGCAGTGATAAAAAAATGTAAGTTTGCAAACTCTCTTCTTATATTCTCTTAGAAATTGATAAAAATCTGTTCCTACGTTATCGATTCAATTCTCGTTATTCTTTATAAGAGTCGATATTTCTTTTTCGTTTTCTTCTTTGCGAGAGTTGGATGTGACAATCTGTTATCAACGACTGGCATGGACAACTATTTCGTCGAGTTGCTCTCTCTTGTCTTTCATTGAGAGATGCTTAAGTCCTCTGCCAACTCAATTTAATTTAACGAAGACAGTTCAATTTCCCCCGCCAACTGAAATAGTAAAGCTTTTGTATTTATCAACTACATGTCTAAATTGAAATGTCGTTTTCGTGTTCATTTCGGTTATTGGATTTATTAATTCTAAACCATTTGTGAATTTTTAGTCGGTCAAAGAAAGAATGATTGATTCTAACAGCCAATTTTGGCTCCAGTCGGATATTGTACTCTTTTCTTTCGTTTACTAACTCTCAGCTTTCGAAGGAGGACTTTTTCGAAATTTATACGGGAACTAGGCCAAAACTCAGCTTAGTACTGGTACACTTATTTCCTTCCAAGTAAAAATTAGAAAACAGTATAATAATCTTTATAAAATAATAATAAAAATTATTATCATTATTAATTGTTACTGTTATTATTGTTATTTTTATAATTGTATTATAATATAGTGACGAAAAAAGGTCCTTTAAGTGTACCATTTATGGACATAGAAAAAAGGTCACGGCTCCAAAGTGATATGTGTACGAAACATAGATTCACGCCTATCGATAAAATAATGTCGTCGCTATAGTACCATTGTGACGTCAAGGTCAATTTGTAGATCTTTTATAGTACTACTTTTAAGAGGCGTCAAGTTTTCTTATTTTTAAAGAATAAGAAATCTCTCAAGGTTCAGAGACAAATATTTTTTTTACCGTGTTTTTTTTTGTACCTCTTGAAAATAGTGAATCGAGCAAGTATCTTGGTATTATAACTCAGAGTAATTCAGGGTGTATAAATTTTATTTTGCGATGTAATATAACTTGATGGTTTTAATGTTTCATAACTCTCTTTCATATTACTGATATGGCTTAAAAGCCGTTACGGTTTGTAATTAAATCAGACAATTAAAACTTTCAGTACGCTTGAAGTCGTCTCTTTTGCTGGGATTTACAATAATCGTAATAATAATAACGAATTATAAGTTTGAAACAACGAAATAGAATATAATTTTCGTTATTTGAAAATATTCTTTTGATTTTTATTGCTAATGTTGTTTTTACATCCCGTAAAAGTCCGTTTTTTAAAAAAAAAGGTCCGTAAAGTCCGTAATTTGATTCAAAAAAGATAAAAAGTTCTTAAATTGTACGATATAATTTGGATAATTTTAGAGAAATTACAAATGATTGCAGAAATTCAATTATTTTTAAAAGTAATAAAATTCTTCATTAAAATTCAATTATGTTTAAAATTTTTTAAAAGTTCTCATCAAAATTTCAATTATTTTTAGAAATAATTAAATTCTTTTCCGAAATTCAATTATTTTCAAAAATTTTCCTCAATTCAATGATTTTTCAATATCTACTATTTTCATAAAATTTTCCAAAAGAATTCAATTATTTAAGAAAAAACTTAATAAAATTCTACACAACTTTTAATTATTTTCAAAAAATAATAAAAATTTCACATGAATTTCATTATTTTCAAATTTTCTTTATAAATTTCTTCACAATCATTCAATTATTTCCCTAAATAATAAAATTTTTACGGGAATTCAATTATTTTCGTTAATATAATGAAATTCTTTTTAGGAATTCAATTATTTTCATAAATAATAAAACTCATTGCAGAATTTTAATTATTTTTAATACAGTTTTAATCGAATTTCTGGAAAAAATTCTTAAAAATTTTATTAAAATTTGTCAAAAGAATTTAGTTATTTAAAAATTTATAGATAAAATTCTTTATGAGAATTTAATTTTAAAAAACATGCAATTATTCAAGAAATTGTTATTTTTGTATTTAAATAATTTAATTATAGTAGAATTTCTCATAAACATTGATTTAAAAATCGATTTCAGTTAAAATTTTAGATTAGAATTGACTTTCAAAAGCATTAGCGCATAAATTTTTTAAAAATAATTGAATTTTGAAAAGGTTTTAGATTAAAATCTTTGAAATTTGAATTTTTCATATTTTTAACTAACAATTCTGTAGAATTACTTTTTTTTTTTTGAGAAACTTTAATTGCGGATTTTTTTAAAAATTATTTAAAGTTTTCAGTTTCTAATAAAAATTTAATTGAAGAATTTACGAATAATTGAAATTTCGTAAATAAGTTGAATATTGTAAACAAATGGATTTGAAAATTGTCAAAGAACTTTTTTGAAAATTGTTGTCCATAAATGGTCCGTAATTTTTCATTTTTGGTCTGTAAAATTCGTATTATTAAATACTTTCACTGTTTCGAGCCCTGTATTAAAGGTATAATGAAAGCGAACAATTTTTTTCTCGTTTATCAGATTAATGTTTATTTTTCATATATTGGAGATAACATTAGGTGCTATTCATATTTTCAGTGTAGTATTTTACAATATTAAAAACAGTTTATATTTTCTTGTTTTCACATTGACATTTCTTGTCATATTCTGTAATTTCCTCTTTTTTATTTCATAAATTTTTGAAAATAATTAAAAAAAACTTGACAAATTATAATTCGTTTGACAAAAAAGGCTTTTACAAATGTAATTTTTTACACAACTAAAAGATTTCTTGAATCGAAAAAAACTGATTTTCCTGCTTCTGTAACAATGATAAATGAGTAAAAACTTCTATGTTTCGAAAAGACGTGACAAATATTAGGTTAGAATTTATCATTTTGTGTTTGTGTTTAATATAGAGGAATTATGTTTTCCTTAGTTTGATGTTTCTTACGATATAGACGTTGTTCATTAATCAATGCGAAAAGAAAATCATAAAAGTTTTTTTTCCCTTTTGTCGATAAGAGCCTTGTGAAGATTGTAGTCTAGACGTAGTAGTAGGGGGCACTGTAGGAAGATGCGTAGTAAGGATAGGCGGAATAAGCCGAGTACGCATAGGGATAATTCGTGTATGCGCTGTATGCAACCGGTGCCGTGTATGCGCTATACGCAAGAGGAGCGCTGTATGCGCCTAGAACGTATCCTCTTTTGCTCCTTCCTGACACCACCGAATTTTCGACTTCCGGTCCAGACACCACTTGTCTCGCTCCTTCAACTTCCACAGGCTTTGTTTCGGCGGAGGCGACGGCGGCCAAAGCCAAGAGAAGGATAGCCTGAAATATTAGAAATTCTTATCAATAATAGTATTTTTCTCTATCATAAATGCAGGAATATTTACACTTCATATATTATTATTATTTATTATGTTATTCTCTTTCGTACATTAATACTATTATTATTTTATTACTACTCTTCTCTTGAAATTATCAAATTGATACTAAAGTGGATCAAATTGATGTTAAATGTTTGGATCAATTTTTTATTTCATCCGCATTTTTGGTAACAATTCGTTTCAATTTTATACTTTTAAGTTAACAGTGCTAATATTGTAAAAAATCATGGCAGCAATTAGGACTTCGAGTTTTTGATCCGAAACTGGAAAACCAGAGTTCGATTCTCTCCGGGTGTGTGAAATTTTTTAAAGACCGAAAATATTTATGCAACTAGAAATCTGATCAAATGTGAATATTTATTATTTATGCATCATTTATTTATGTATGAAATTAATTAATACAATTTAAATTCTCTTTTTCATTTATATATTTATTAAATATATTTTCAATCATATTGAAGCCAAAATAAATAATGATTCTTGTTGATAATAATGGATATTTACTTAAAAACAAACTAAACTAAACAAACGAAATATTGAATAAATAATAATATAAATAAACATAATAATAATGATAATAATAATAATCACATTTAAAGAAATGTGGATTTTTATGTGAATATTTGATTAATTTGAGTAAATAATAAATGATGTTCATTATTGAAAATAAGTGGATAAATAATTATCCATTCATTATTATGAATGATAAATGAAATTGATTATTATTTAAATTTTTAAATTTGTTAGATTTTTATTGTGGATCAATTTTTGACTTACTGCAATGCACTTCATGTTGATTGTTGATTGTTGGAGATTGTTGTTGTGCTTCTTGTTTTGCTGTTGGAGCGAATGATGCTTAAATGATTGTTTCGCGTCTCTTATATACTAAATCCTATTGTGCCCCATGATACGTGCTGAGATTGAGAATAAATCGTTGCACTTGATTCATACGTGACTCCTTGGTATGGTCATCACCATCAATGAAGGTTGTTGGTGTAACATTAGTGCTCATAGGTCCCTCATAGTTAGGTAACACACGTCCTTGGCCGCCAGCCAAATACTAATGAAAGTATTTTACAATCCAAAACTGATCGAAATTCTGCATATTGATTTTATTGTAATCAACTTGACCTCTCAATTCTATTTCGATGGTCATCATCATCTTCTTTTTCTTCTTCTTCTTCTTTTTCATTTCATTATTTTAATTTGCCTTTATTCTTCTATTTTTCCTTTTCGTCTTACGGAATTTATCTCTTTAATAAAGTCATCGTAAACTTCTAATTAGCACCTGTTATTAATTCCGCGATGTATCCGAACCTTGTACTTGATATATCTATATAATAACAATGCCTCTGGAATTATAAATGATTAGTTAATGTATGAGGTAATTTCTTTAAAAGGTCGTCTTATCGTTAATATTTATTTATTTCTTTATTCGCAGTAAAGATGATGTTATTAAAATAATTTTTTATTTTATTAATAATTACTAATATGTTTTTCTAAAAATTGGCGTAGGAGTTAAAATTAAAAAATTTACTAAAACTCTAAATACAAATCCAAGTACAATGTTTAGTATATTATTTATTGCTCATAATTTTGAATTAGAGAGAGAAAAAATGATCCATATTTTACCTTTGAGTGCTTTTCATCTATTGTTTCAAGTAAACATTCACACATTCTATACGCAGGCATTGTGTTTGTCTATAACACAAAGTAAACGACAACTTCATCACGTATATATTATAGTTACCAAACTAGATTATAAACAAGTTTCGTCATAAACAAACACTCTCATCTTTGCGAAATTTTCAACTAGAGGAACAAACTTGTTTTGGTATTGTTGAATTTTCTCTCTAATTTTTTTTACTTATGTTTATTTATTCTATATTTTATTGTTTATTTATTTTATGGCATACTTTTATTATTTATAAATTAAATTAATTTTGTAGGAAGTTAGTTAAACTGTAGAATTAGTTTCGTTTCATAATTCGTTTTAGAAAAATATTTATTGTCCATCTTGTAATTGCACGGAGAAAATTTGTTCCTTACATTTTACCGAATTTTTCAATAAAGTTGGGATATAGTAGCATAATCGTAATTTTTAATAATTTTTATATTATTTTTTCGGTAACAATATTTAAAATCTAATGTGATATCTTTATTCCTTAAGAACTAGTACTGTAAAAGTTGAAAAAAAATTGAAACTGAACGTTCAATGTAAATTAAATAAATACCTCCTTGATGGGCACTAACGTTTCAGGAATAGTTCGGTAAAACTTTCTTGGCTTGCTTAAAGTGTTAGTTTTTAGGAATAGTTCGGTAAAACTTCCTTGACTTGCCTAAAGTTTTAGTTTTCTGGATTGAAATACTTTATTTCAACTGTCCCGCAGTCAAATGAAAGACTTTCACACTAATAGTTGATTTTTCCAACTTATTTAGACTTAATTAATAATCATTTTATTATTATTTAAATTAAAATTCAATTAATTAATTATTTTAAACACTTATTAATTGCCAAATATGTAATAAATGCTTTTAAATCATGTAAAAAGAAAATATAAAATGTCAATAACATACTTATTTTTTCAACATATAATTTATTCATTTTAATTAAATATGAATAATAATAAGTAAGTAAGCAAGCAATCAAGAAAGCAAGTAAGTAAGCAAGTAAACATAAGTAAGTAAGCAAAAAGGAAATAAATAAGTAAGCAATTAAACATATAAGTAAGTATGTAAGTAAGTAAATAAGTAGGTAAGCAAGTAAGCAAACAGGAAATAACTTGCTTGCTTACTATCTTACTTTCTTATTTGCATACTTACTTGCTTATTTCTTTCTTGCTTACTTTGCTTACTTGCTTACCTACTTATTTGCTTACTTCCTAATTTCCTTCTTGCTTACTTGTTTGTTTCCTTTCTGCTTACTTACTTCCTTATATGCTTACTTGCTTACTTTCTTATTTCCTTCTTACTTACTTTGCTTACTTGCTTATTTCCTCCTTGCTTACTTTCTTACTTGCTTATTTCCTTCTTGCTTACTTTATTCTTTATTTGCTTACTTGCTTATTTCCTTTTCGCTTTTTAATGCCTCACAATTATTATTTAATATTTCAGAAAGATTAATTTTCTATTAATTAATTTAATAATTTCCAACTTGCACTTTTAATATGTATATTTTTAATTTTAAACACAAAAATTTGAGAATAATAAGGATTTTCATGAATTATTGTTTTATTCCATTAAATACAAATTTAAACATTTTTCTTTATAATAATAAAAACATAATTTAAAAATATTTCATAAATTGACCTTGAATATAGTTAGAAATGATTCATTAATATAAATAATTTTCAATTTTGTACAACGATAGTTTATTAATTTGAATCTTTCTCACAAGCGGTGAAATAAAATTGAGATTAATATATAAGGACAGTTGAAACTTTCTGAAGCATTAATGTAAAGCGTGCAATGTGTGTATTAGTGTATGCGTTTAGAATGTACTGTAGGCAGGTGTATCAATTAGTATTTGTTCGTAAACAATTGTAGGGGGTTTAGGTAGTTATTAAAGTAGGTAAATTGAGAGTTACGGCAGTATTAATATAGATCTACTGAAGTAATATTATTTTTTATTTTTGTTCTTCAAGTTTTACCGAACTTTCAGTAAATTGCAACTCGTCAGTTTTACCGAAGACTTTATCTTACGTTTTACCGAACTTTCAATAAATTGCAACTCGTCAGTTTTACCGAAGACTTTATCTTACGTTTTACCGAACTATTCAATAAATATGAATGTAGCGAGCACTTGGCTTACGTTTTACCGAACTGTAAGTGAAGCGCTAATACATGTATCGTGAGCTTTATGATTTTTACATTATTTTTCAATGCAATTTCTTTTACAGTCTAGTTCTTGAAAAATTACTGTTTTGACACTTCATCCCAGTTTTACCGAACTAAATTCAGTAAAATTTCAGGAATAAATTTTCTCCGTGTGTAAATTGTCCTTTTAGGTAAAATTAAATATTGTTATAGTGAAATAAGAATGAAAGAGTAAAAAAAAAGTAACTTGCTTGAAGTACCATGCTCATTCATGATCTATTAATCATGTTTATTTGCTGTCATTTATCAGCGGCTGCTAATGGAAAACGCGAGAAATGGTGAAGCAGCGTTATTTTACGCTTATATGCCCGTCTATGTGCGATTTTTCACCACACACGTCACATCCGTTCATCACTAATGCTTTTATTTGCTTCTTTATACAATATAACATCATCGTAAATTCTCTTACTCTACCTTTTACTCGTTAAATTTTATTGTACACACTTCATTCAATTATACTTTTCTCCCTTTTTTTATATACGCATACATATACATTAGTTTTCCCTCTTTAATGAAAATGACTCAAAAATAGAAGAACTGATTAATTTGGTGATTAGAACCTTTTTTCTTATAAAAGCCAAGCGTCTAATTAAAAATTTAGCTTGAATTTACGACATGAAATATTAAAAAAGCTTTTTTTAAAAAGTAATTTACACGAAAGAAGTGTCTTTATTTTACGGTTGGGATAATAACTTTTTAGTTTATTCTTAACTTGGACGTATATACATATATATATATATATATATATATATATATTTGGAAAGTCGAAACAACTGTGGTGTTAAAATGAAAATTCTCAAGTTTCCCTCGTTATCATTAGTGTCCTTCTGTTAAGGAGCTTTTAATGAGGCTTTCTTAAAAGTCAAACTATCCTGAATTATATAAAAGAATTGTCTTATTTCTTGTAAATCGAATACATTTATTAACGTTTCCTTCCGTACCAATTCAGTAAACTATAACTTTATTATTTTTACCGTCAAAGCTATTATTGTTGTTGAAAGGATACAATCAATTTGAAATAATTATTTTCCTTATTGTCAAGTTCATTATTACAACTTTAGACAGTAAAATTATAAATCTGGCTCTGCAACTGCAGTGTATCGTATGCATTATTCTAAAGTAAACTCACTTTGTTAGATATATTTTTTTAGTTATTTTTAAACAATTCATCTTAAGGTTATTTGATAGTATTTGCTGAATAAAACATCTTTTTCCTCCTCTTTAAATTTTCTCTCTCTCTCTCTAAAAACTTTATTTATTATTGCATTTCCTATAATATTTTTATGGCACTTATGTCGATGCAATTTATGCAGATTCAGACTTGTTTAAATCTATCTTTCGTGTTGGAGAATTTTTTTCACTCTACGACTCGATTCACATGAATATGTATCGTGAAATAGGATAAAATCAATTGCGCTGCATTCAGTTGCATACAAATCGTAGCTTTCGGAGACTCAGTAGTTTGTTTGTTTTTTTTCTTTTATTCTATTCAAGTGGCGTGGAAGAAACAGAAAAGGAAATGTCGTAAAATACCTCTCTTTCTTATTCTGTCCCTTGATCTTAGTAAAGACACTTGAGTAATATCTGTAACATTACGAGACACAATGTCGAGGCCATCTATCAGACTACCAACTGTCGTCTTGTACCTTCTTTTTTCCTTCATTGCCTGTTCCACGCATCGCTACATAACGTCGTCTGCTTTTTTCTCCCTTGAAACACATTGATCAAGTTTCTTTTTTACGGTTATTTCACTTTGTCTAATTTTTTTTTATTCTTTCCATGAAACTTAATTAGTTAATTAATTTCCATCAGAGTGATTTTAGAATGGTGTTAATTAATTAGGTCCCTTTGGTGACGACATTGAGCGTCGAAAAATATTTTTTTCCAGAAACTAAAAAGACTCGAATAATTTTTTCAAACGATTCAGATTAAAAATGTACTTTCAAATATGATATCTTTTAACTCTCTTGGTAAATAAAAAAATGAAGTTAGTGACATTTTCATCTCTAAAACCCTCGCTGACCATCGACTTTGACTTCAGGAAAAAAGAT